TTGTCTAAGGCATAGCCCAAGGTGACTGACTGACTGACTGCTGTGACTCTTGCTCTCTGAGTTCTCCTTGTCTCCTATTTGTTACCTTCCTTTTGCCCATAAAGCTTTACAAGGATTTCCAATTAAAGAAAAAAAAGAAGAAAAGGGGAAAAAAAAAAAGCCATGCAATTGATTGCCTTTATTCTGGTGTCAAAAGGTTTCCTAGAGTGAAGATTTACTTTTGCATTTCCATGCGTGTTTTAGACTCATTTCTCTATGTCTGACAAACATAGGTGCCAATGGATCATTTTGGAACTGGATATTGTCTGATGCTTTTCTCTCTCTGGTGTCCGGTTTGTGCTGACCTTACTCATATTTTCCTCTATTTCAGACTGGCATAATACACAGCTTGGAAAGCAATTTGTCTGGCCCGCTCACTGGCTGAGAAGCTGTGCATACTTGCTGTCTGGCAGCTGGCAAGTCATCTCAAGGATAGCTGTTCTGGAAGGAAACAAATAAAGGTTCCTTTGAAAGGAAGGCTGGTATCTAAAAAATGTTTGTGTGGTGCTATCTTTTTGTGCTAGTGCAAGAAAGTAAAAATGTGCTTACACAGGGAGAGTGAGTAGGAGAGATACTGCCATAGACTACAACTGGATGTAGGCAGTTGGGAAGGCATTGTTCTGGAGGGAAGAGGGAAAGGACATTGGATGGATAAGTCATGGGAAGAGATGACATATAGCCCAAAGTTAATAAAATAACGTCATTCAAACCCCACCTCTTCAAGAGTATGTTCATTATGATCCTATATGCCAATTTTCCTTCTCTTACTCTCAAGGAAACGGCAAATTTTCATGGATGGAGAGAAAAGCCTAGTTTTGAGCTAATGAAACTGGAAATACAATTGAGAGTAAGCTTGAACATTCAGGAACACATAATTGGAAATGGCAAATTGGGAGTCTATGGAGAGCCACAGTTGTGGCTCATGATGTTCCCTTGTTTGCAGATCAGAGATCTCATAATAGTGGATTAGTAGAAGGATGGAAATAAAAGTAAACATCTTGTGCTTAAAAAAGCCACTGAAACTTTGATTAGTGAAATCTCTGCAAACATATTTCTCCTCCAGTAGGAAGTTGGCGGAAAGGATTTCCAAGATATTTCCAAGGAGTTTTAGCAACGAACTCTTGTTCCAAGGTTGAGCACCCCTCACCTCGTTACATACACCCTGTACCGCACAGCAGCAGACATGAATGGCATAAAACAAGTAATTAAGGGAGAAAAGTTGTATATTCAGCAGTCATACAATTCAAGCGCAGAGGCCACTGGCATAAATAAATGAAAGCAATTTACATATGTACATAAAGAACATAGTATGAGATTCCCATTTGTAAAGTGGGGTAATGTACTACAGAGGCTTTTTAGTGTGAAAGAAAGGCATCAGAAGCAATTCTGAACTATATGAAGCTGACTGAATGTGTATAATGCTCCCCCAAAAAGAGCCACGTGAGAAAACAAGGCAACAGTAAAGGGTATTGGAAAAAATATGAAAGCAGCATACTAACAGAAAACCTGTTGTGTATTTAGTCCAATATTTACAAAAGGGCTTATGCTCCAGAATTACATTCAAGCAGTAAAACTGTGGGGCTTCATTGTCTCCTACTATTTTTAAAGAAGTAATCTTTCTAATTTAAGATACATCAAACCCCTCACAAAAACTTATTCAGGTGGTGAATTCAGATACGATTCAGATAGCGAGTTATACTTGAAAGCATTCATAAACTGCATAAAGTAAAATGGACTTTCCTTCAGCATGAGAAATGGATACTTTTCCCTAAGAAGAACTATATAAAAAATAAAATCAGAAAATTCTACTCACTCTTTATCCACTTTTTGTATTCCCCAGGTCACCTTATAAATACAGTTAACACAGAACTAGTTGTTGACAGAGACTTAAAAAAATAAGCTATTATTTATTTCTTATGGTGTTAGTGAAAGGCACATATAATGGTTACTGCTTAAGATTCTTGAACTTCATCTTCATGAAATGGTATTTTTTGGTTTTCATATTAAGCAAAATGGCCTACTTAATTTTGAGACAAGTTTTCAGCAAGTAAATTAGATGCGTTCAACAGCTGTGTAAATTCTGTAAGACTCAAACATCTCGCAAAAATAGAAGTCTATGTTGTAAAAATACAAAATAGATATATACTAGAAAAATTATGGCTTAAAGTGTTTGGCTTTTAATGTATTATGAAATATAAATACGATAAATATTGTCCAATATGTAGGATTTTGTAATAATATTAATTCTAGCTTGATGCCAATAAAGACTCAATCTATAATTAATTTTTAGTAAAGCAACATAATGTGTATATTAATATTTTAATATATTAAGTGCTCAGAGAGACAAAGGAATGTAATTTTGGTAGGCAAAGATACAGAGATACTATACTTGCTGGCCGGATCTTGGCTCCCATTGGGGCCCTGATTTTGTAGCCCATTAAGCATATTCTTAACATTTTATTTCTATGAAGGAAGGCACTTAAACTCAAGCTGAACTTTAAGTTAACACTTTTGTGTTTTTTTCCAAGATAGTTCTTCTAAAAGAGGAGCCTTTTCAGTATGGGATTCTCTGGCTGGTGAAGTAACTGATGTGCTTCCAGGCAGTAGGAGAGGAGCGAATGAGCCAGGTTTGCCTACACCTACATTAGCACAGTTCTACCCCTCCCTTCCCTCACCCCCAATTTGATTTTACACTGAGTAGATTGAAATTTGACCACAGCTGAAATTTAATCATCTACCCAAAGACCAACGCAAGACTAAAGCAAGGCAAGGCAAGACAAAATGGTAGATTTGATGGCTTTTGTACTATCAGGGAATCTCTGCAAGGGACTGGAAGTAGCAGTAGTAGCCACAATGGAGGAGCCACATCCCTGCCACTTATATTTGAGTTACAACTTGAGTTACAAACACAGAAATTTTCATAGTCGAATGACTCAAAAGAGAGCTCTAGGAGTGCTCAGGACAAGAGAAGCATGTTATAATTATAGCTGGTTTGCATAAAAATTGAGAAAAACTGTAGAATTCAATCAGTCTGTTGTGTAAACCAAAAATTGCCTTGAGCAAAAAAGCTAGAATAACTTCCACATTAGGGAGCTTAAGCTATAATTTAGCAAAGTTAAAATTCATGTAATCTTATCATCCTTTATAAAGTACTGGAATTAATATTGTTTGAGAAAATAAAAAGTTAATCAATATTGCACCTATGAAAATTAATACTATTCCCACAAATAAGATCAGCCAAAAGCAGCATGTACATCTTAATCAGGAAACAAAAGCAAGAGCTCTGGGGGGAACCTGGAGTGGTTGTCTAGGAAACAACAAAAAAACCCGAGGCTATGAATACAGATGTTAACAAGCAGTCAAGGTTCATGCAGACAGTGCAACTTTGCAAGGGGCAAATTCTGAGAATTAGAATATCTTCTGAGAATTACCAAATAACAAAGTTTTTGAAATTTTGCATAATTTAGACAAAGAGGTATGATTTGACAAGCAAAAAAACCTGCAGCATTTTGGATAGCCTGAGCCAGTCACCACACCTTGCATACAAATTTTCCATTTTTAGGAGTGGCTGATTTTTCTCAAGCCATCTTCACGTCCACAGGTAAATAAACACCAATGAGTGTCTGACAGTGACATTTATTGTAGGTGTTACATCTGTGCACAGTACTTGTAAGACAATATTGAGAGCCAGCACATAGTATTCTACTTTCCCTGTTGTAACAGATGGGTGGGATGAGGTACTGGCAAAACAAAATGTATATATTTGCTTGTTTTTTTAACTTATGCACATCTTAGCTTTCTGCAGATCAATCTGGAATGTCAGACAACTGTGACACATCACTGGATCAGATGCCCTTGCGTTTTGTTCCAATCAATTATTGGTTCTACTTGTGAACAGCAAATTGGAAGTTCATGAACAAAAATTGAATCTGCAAATTATCTTACCATCCTGGATAATCTGCAGTGTCCTGGAATCAGCATTAAGGGATGAACTTTGTAAATTGCCTAGTCAAACAAGAAAAAAGCATAGTGGGTTGTGTCTTTTTCACCCTGTCTAATTTGCAACAGGACAGTATTATAGAAAGTTGAGAAATTGTAAGTGTTATTGATTGCAACATTTTTCCTGTCATCGTCTTCGACAGTTATTTTGGATTGAGGATATCAGGCTGTAGTCAAGAAACAGTTACCTGTGTAATATTACAGACACAGCGAGCGGTCTCTCTGAACAGCAGGCGCGTGTGCTATCTCCGCGGCGCAGGAGGAAAGGCCATTATGATAAGGGGTAATCAGTGATGCCATTTCCCTGATGCGTTTTCTGTCATCCTCCAGAATCTCATCTCCTCTTGGCTATCTGTTGACCACCCCAGCCTCATGGAGCCGGCCATTGTGCAGAGCTGAAACCTGAATACAGAAACAGCAACGCAGCTCTATCAATCCTATGGCTGGTTAGAAAACACGGGGAGGGTAATTTCAGAGTCCTCGTTAGCAGTTATTTCCAGTGAGCTGTGAGGCAGGTGGCATTTCGGGGGTGCACACAGATGGGCGAGCGAGCCCCAGCCCTGGTCCCCGCAGGCAGCCTAGCCCTCCCCTGGCTGCCTGAGGGAGGCTCGGGTGCCCTTCACCAGCTCTTTCCCAGCCAAAATCGAAGTTTCAGGCTTCGTCAACAAAGGTTTCCTCTCTGCACAAAGCATCTGCCACCTTCTTGGCAGCAGCAGGATTTCCTCCTCCGAAAGGTCACCTCAGCTCCCAGCCACCACCGCTGGCTGCCGTTTCTGTGGAAACTTTTCCTCAGCCATCAATCTAAAATCTTCCCATACTTTCTTCCCTCGGGGTGCCCTTCTTTGGCAACCTTCTGTAATTAAAACTTGGAGCCACACCGTGTCCCCTGGCCCGCTATGGGTGACCACCTGCCCCACCCCGCCTCAGCTGAGGGTGACCCACAGCGTCCCCCGCCCACCCCAGCCCGCCGCAGCAAATGGCGGCAGGGCCCGGAGCTGCCGCGCTACGAACCGAGCTGGGGGGAGCGGGCGACCCCCGATGAGGCTGGAAACTGTGGTGCCTGCTGTGTAAGTACCTCCAGAAAAGATGCTTAAAGCAGATTTCCGAGGATTGCTCCTCAACGGCGCCCCACAGACGTCGTGGGGCGGTAGGAGGCTGCCCGCCATTTCCCTCCCAACCGGCCTGCTGCCACCCCGGGTTGGCTGGGTTTCCCTCACAAGCGGCCGGGCGCTGCTCCAGGGGTGCCCGGGTTTCCCTCCAGGTGGCCGGGGGTGCCCGGGTTTCCCTCACAAGTCGGTGTTCCTGCTGTCGGCCGGGGGTGCCCGAAACCCCGAGGGCTGTTCGCCGGCCGGTTTCTAGAACCGTCTGCGGGCGGCGCTGAGGGCTCAGCCCGGCCCTTGGGGCCTCGGCGCCGCCATCGACCCTGCGTGCTGCCGGCCCTGCCGCCCCTCACCGCTCTGCCGCCCCTCACCGCTCTGCCCCGGAGGACATTAATGTGAGTTCATTTCTAAAAATGGAGCTTTTAGCCCTAACTTTTGTGTTGCCCTGGGGTGACCCCACCCTGGGATATAGAGCTATAAATGGAAAAACGCGTTTTGGGCGGCAGCGAACTGATGCTGAAGAGCGGGTGGTGTGTCCTGTCCCCGGGTGGCTGCAGGCCGGGCCGCACAGGGTTCGGCCTCCGAAAAAGGCACCAGGTGTTCTTTTTGCTAGTATTTACTCAGTTTGCATCTCTTGTCACTGAGGGAAGTAGCACAGTTATTCATAAAAGAGAAATCCTGTGAAAAATCCTGTGACTTTTAATGTGAGAATTAGTGAGGCAGAAGGTTCTGGAGGAAACCTGCAGTTTTCACCACCACAGGAGGATCAACAAAGTTACCATTTCTACTTAAATGGTGGTGAATCCTCTGCTTTCACTGTTAATGTCAGTAGCTCATTTGCAAAAGATTTGCTTCTTTTTACAGAAGTTTGTAGCAAAATACTGGAATGAACTTCATAATTAGTTTTTGAAACTTATAGTCACTATTCATGTCTAAATATGTACTTGATGGAAACCCTGAAAAAGCTCGGAAACCATCCAAGCCTCTTGGCTCTCTAAAATTAAGCTAAAAACCTCTGTCCTTTCTGTCTAGCCCATGTTCTGTCCAGACTGGATGCTCTCCTTTGAATGGATTTGTTTCTCCCTTGGTACTTTACTTCAACAGCACCTACCTGCCAAATTAATCTAAAATGAAGTTTGCAACCATATATCTATGAAGTTGCCAGGCCTCTGAAAGTACTTGATTGTGGTATGGGACAGTATTCAATTCAGTTACTGTTTTTAATATGAGTTTAGGTAACAGCCCTCTATAATTCTTCAGCCAGTTACATCTATCTGCTTGCAAGCTACCTATCCTATGTGATTGCATTTAGTTGTATAGCACCCCATCAAGCTGGCAAATACAATTGTCTTTAACTTTTCACAGATATGAATAACTTTCCTGGTATGACAGATGGGACTGCAGTAAGAGTATGATCCCTCTGTTTCAGTTGATGTGCATGAGCATTACAAAAGAAGCCCACTAACACTGTGGATAAAAAGGAAGCCACTGGCAGGGCAAGGAGCAGAATTTATGAATACCATTTTCTAATCCTTCACTCTAACCACTAAACCCTCTTGTCATTAAGATGTCAAAACTATGTTGTTATTCCTAAACTGTGATACTGTATTTTTATTCAAGGTTTACATCATATATTATAATGTATTGTGGAGGATGTTGACAAAGCAGAATTTCTTATAGGAATGACAACCTATCATGCAAAGCCTGCATTATTTACAGTGTCTGTGACTCCATGGACTGATGACACTGTCACTTGTTGGAAGTTGTAAGTGGAAAAGGCTACAAATAAACCAAGTCTCTAGCTTCCCAGTCATACTCAAGGAGAGTACTGTCTGGTAGTAGGAAATTATTTACCTGTGTAAGCACATAGGTTTTTACACTGCCGTGGAAGCCATTTTGCCCTCTATTGTCTTTTATTGAATGCCTGTTTTTTTATTGGGGCAAGTGAAATATGCATCAGATCCAGGTAAATATACACTTGGTCTGTAAATTTCTATAGGAGAAGTAGTGGGAGAAGTCTGATCCTGACCTTCTTTCATTGTGAAGGGTTTTGGACAGCTTCTGCCTTTGAGAAAGGAACACAGAATTCCTCTCAATGTGAAGTGAATGAAAAGTAATATCTGTTCAGAATATGAGGAGTTAATCAGTTCTCAAAACATGTCAGAGAACAGAACTCTCCAGTGTCTGCAGTAAAATGGCCTAGAACATCTATCATAGCTTGTTATTTTCTGGTGATCTGCAGCATAATAGCTGTGGAGCAAGAAGATTCCATGTGGTTCAGATTCCAGGTGTCTGCTAATAGTGGTGATTTGAAAAAAAACCACCACACCAAAACCTGAAGAATTCCTCATTCCTGGGCTAATTACTGAGTGACATACTGCAAACCAGCAAGATAACTAGTGCTTTTTTAGTTAAGAAAAAGGTGTAGAGAGCATGCAGTAAAGTCAGATATGGAGATAGCCCTCACAAAACTAGATACTGCATTTAAAAAAGATACAGTGTGCACAGTGTTAGTCTCTGTTGCTTTTAGATGTGGGAGGATAATTCATCCATTATGATTCAGGGAGCAGAGGCAGTCACAGGCCATGTTTTCTCATTGAGTATTGATGGGATGTATTTGTACACATCAGTTGTGAGTGTTTTGGATCATTATAGCTATGCCTCTTGTGAAGTGTAGGTGTTTGCATTCCTGACTTTCACAGAGCTGTGAGGGCTTGGAAAAAATAGTCTCTGAGCTATCGTGTGTTGAATGTGCCTGTGATGGCTTTCTTTAGCAGAACCAGGAATCTTTGCCAAGATCTTGGGTATTGAATGAGATTGATGAAAGTAGAGGATGTGAAGATTACATAGAAGAAGGAAGGTATATCAGTGCATGTTTCTTGATGGTTAACTATGGGGAAGTTCCGGGATTCAAGCATTAATCACTGGTTTCTGCACCTATTTATCATGGGCAATTATTGGGTCCATCAATGCTACCTTTAAAGTGCTGTGTCCTCTCTCCTTCACAGTAACTCAGGACTGTATGGCTTTTTTTTCTTCCTCATTCTCCTGTGCGAAGATAAAGGTTGTGCCCTTCCTATAAAGATCATGAAAAGGGTCATTTTCCCCTCTGGTTTTCCTTCTGTACCGTTGAATTAGGAGCAGTGGGATGACTCCTCTGTAGAAGACACAGCTCCACCTCTTATTTCCACGCTTTCTATGCATAGAAAATCCACTTTTCTGTTTCTCTGTGAGCTTGGGGAGGTTTCTTTAGTGTTTGAAAATGAAGCTTAATTTTCTTTTCCTCGTGAGAGGATGCAACTTGATCTTTTGGCTGCAGTGGGAAGGAAGGAGAGCAGTGCTGTGAAACATTCGGGAAAGGCATCACAGCCTCTTGATGGATGTTTCCCAATTTGTTGAGGCAACAGCACTATTCAGGATCGTTGCGAGGACCTCAGATCTGCATTATTTCATACCTTCAGAGTGACTTTTTAGATTGGTTTTAAAGTTACCTAGCATGAATTTGAAAAAGAATGGGCATAAACAGAAGCAGACCTGCTGTCCCTTGTCTGTTGGTATCAGAAAAAAGGTATAAATAAACTACAGAGACCAGGAATTGTATAAATTTGGTGTTTTTTCCAGCTTCTTTAGCTTTTACAGTTATTGAGGTGATTCTTATTGAAGAAGTCTCTAGAATTTCATCCTCTTGTAGGGTTTATCTTCCATGTGTTTGGTGTCAGTGTGAGTGGGATTTCACAGGTGTCTGTTGTTAGCCTTTAGGCACCACACTTCTCAGACTTTTTATTCTTGCTGTGGTTAGTTGTAGTGGAGACTTGATTCTCCTTCCTCTTTGCTGTCTCTTCTGTAGAGCTTTGATATGTCATTCCTACGGTGCTTTGTTGCTTTGGTCTTTTCTTACACTAGGAATATTTTTGGAGCAGTTCTGGAATAGCTAATACTGATTTAGTTCTGACACTGTTGGTAATGGACACCTTGTTTAGATAGATTATTTGATCATAAAGCTGCAGAACCGAAATATTCACATAAAAAAAGAACCCTATAAAGAAGTTCAGGTCTTTATATGGTTCTTCTTTATTTTTTTTTCCAAACACATGTACCCACTTCCAAATATTAGGTTTTCTAAACTACGAACTGTACAGGGTAGCAGGCTTGTCATTAGCTCTGTTTGCTTGATTTTCAACAGTAAATAGCAAACTAAATATTAAACTGGAAATGGCAAACAAGTATTGTAAAGGGAGAATATGTGATGCAAACTCTGGTTTCTGGGGAGGTGGAAGGAAAAAGGGAAGAAAATAAAAGATCCAGATTTCCCAAATGTACATTTAATCCCCTTCTTGTCTGTTTGAATGTATTGTAGAATGTAAATCTCTATTACCTCATATTCCTCCGCCTTTCCAACTGCCTTGCTTTTTATGACACATGCTGGATTCAAATTAAGAGTAAGCTTTGTGACTCCTCTAATCTTTTATTTCATATTTGCATATAAACAGTAAGTATACAGCCCCAAAAGGAATGCAAATATTGCGTCTGTCATAATTAGTATTAAAATGTTTAAGAAAAAGGGAAAATAGATTTATGATTTGCTATAAAACATTTTATTGAAACAGCTATTTATCATTATAGATATTAATTCAAAGTTGTAATGAGTTGAGTGGTGTTTTTGGAGATTGCATACTAGGAGTGAAAAGAAATAAGCCTCCCTTTTGTCATAAGCTTCCTTTATGACAAAAATGGACTGTCTTGCTTTGTACTGTAGTCTACTCAGATATCAAATGGGATTTGCTTGTTCATCTATGTAGCAGCTATACTGTAAAATGTTCTCATCCATGTCACAGATCCCTTCGTAACAACAGAATGTTGATATGTTTAATACTGCAAGACAGACTGTCTCGTAGTTCCTGTTGTTCTCAGAACAGTGTAGGGTCAAGGACACTCCTGATGGGTTCTTAACATTATTTCCATGTTCT